TTCTGTCCGAGTGGGTTGTTGTCGAAGTAGTCCTCAAGTGCGGCAATCGTGGCTATACGGCGTTGGCGCATAGCACGAATTGGGTTGTACTGGTGCATTAAGCGGATCATTTAGTTAACTTATGTTCAACTTTGGTCTGTTGTAAGCTATCTCAGTCCTACCACCACATCAAGTACCCAATCAACCAAAAATTGTCTAATTATCTGATCATGCCTCCCATTGACCTGATCATAAATCATAGTAGATGAACTGTCAAGCACAAGGATGCTGAGGTCATGAAGAAATGTACATAAAGTGGTGCCGTAATATCTGCCTATGATTCTTTGGCGGCATTCCTAACTTTATACCTATAATTACTTTCTGAGGACGTATCTGGCGGGTTAGTAAAGACACAGTATGTTCTAACACCGCTGCGAACTATGCTGACCTAATGGTCGCTGGATTGGCTCCTGTTTTGCTGGGCTACAAATAGTATGCTGGCAAGTTCTAAACCTAAATTGACTAATCAAGCCTCCTAACACCTAACCTAACTGCCATGCTGGCGGCTTGTTAAGAGGGAATGTGGGGCTGGCAGATTACAGCGAGGACTCACCTGTCTAAAGGGGGAAAAGGAAAAAAAGATGAGTTAGAAGAACACTGTTCAAAAGGCAGGACTTACTCGGCAGCCACGGCAACCACGAGGACAGCCAGGAGGGCGAAGATCAGCGCGCGCATTTTGGCAAAAACGCAAGGAAACGGTTTTGGAACTACTTAGCGAACGATGCATATATATAAGTATACTCTAAAGCTATGGGTGTAAAATTATTGGTCAGACCGGACGTCAGCTTCCGGTCACACATACACACACAAACAACAGCCATCGGCTGTCACCTTGTGTGGAAATGTGGTAAATGTGCACCACTAATGGGCTCACGCACCAAATAGCGAACAGGCCATGGGCGCACGCTAACTTCCGGTCCGCCGACTATCACTCGCATGGCACTGGGTATTCTGGCCATATAAATATGACAGTAGGTCAGTTTATGGCTAAAACCTATCCGTGTCACCTGCCGTCAAAATGAGGGTCTGTCTCTTGGTCCTGTTTGCTCTGGTGGCTGTTGCCTTGGCTGCTGATGATGAGTAGGTTCTTATTCCTGAGGGTTCTCATCTAACCCCTTCCTCTCTCTCTAGTGAGGTAGGTCTGCATATGTGCAGGTTCGATGAACACACACGTCTGGGTTTGTCCACATATCAGTGATACTGGCTTAACATTTTAATGCGTTTTATTACTAAATGTTGTGGTTTTGTCCCTCTGCCCACTCCCTAGAAGTCCTCTAAAAACCTCAGAGTTGAGGTGATGAAGAGGGTCGTGGCTGTCCAGAAGTTCTTCAAGGAGGATCCCCTGGGCGTGAAGATTGGTGAGCAAATGGTGGACCTGTTGGAGATCCTGAAACAAGGCAAGTGCACATGCTTCCTTACTAATAGTTACCACATGCTACTGTTTGAATGTAAGCAAATGTATAAGGTCTTATTTTATTTTCTCACTGCAGCCAGACTACGTCTCCGCAAGCGTTTGGCCGACTACCTGACTAAGCTCGAGGCCTAGGCGACGGCCACTCCGGACTTTTTCGCTGGTTGCGCTCCCCTACTATTCTCTTGAATTAAAATACAGTTTTTATCTAGTCGACAATTTTTTTGAAACAGGGATGATGCGTTGCTTCAACATGCTTATTTGGTACGTTTAAAGTGCAACGTTAGGGGATGAGAATTACCCGTTTGGGTGTCTCCAGCTATCATACAGGGAACGTACAAAAGTTAAATGTGGAGGAGGGGGGCAGATGATATGGGTGAGGTGTGGGATGAGGGTGATGATGGCTCCTATGGCTGGGAAAGTTTTATTGATTTATCGATCTTTCGAGTAATAGCTGGGCCTGGAATTGTACAGTAGATTGTATATCTGATATAATGTTGAGATCAAAATTTGAGTGGGTGATTGACCACACATTTGAGTTTGTTTATTTTTTTTATTGAGTTAATTTGAGGTGCAAAAATTTTGTTTATTAGAAAAGAGTTCAGTTCAGATCAGTATACTAGGGGGTGGAAGGAGGCCAAATCCAACCTTGTTCATATCCAAGAGGTTTTCTGTGTTATGAAACTCGGCAGACCAAAACGTCTTGTTTATGCGTGTTTTAATATAAAATAACATTAATAGCTAGCGGAAACTTTCTAATTATATATGTTCATAAAACAGACACATTTGTTTTGCGTTCATGAAATTGAGGTCAATGCAATTATGAGTTAATGCATTATTTTGGGAAAAGAAGAGCAAAATAAGTTTTAAAAAAGTACATTTTGCAAATCTGCTAAGTCTCGTGCCATAAGATAAAGGAATAAACTTCTAAGGTTGTAATTTGTGTTAACCTTAGGCATATTAATTCGTGACTTTTGTTGCGGACATCCATTTTTCTCGGCAACTAGTTGACATGTTTGGGTGATTCTAAAACCATGATCCAAACAGACAGCTGCATAAAAAGGAATGTTTGAAAACCCGTTATTTAGGTAAATTCTTTTAAGAAGTATCTTACTGTGAAGGTTTTCATAAGCATTTAGAATATAATCCTTATTTATGATCAATCGACTGAAGCCAGTGAAAATCGTGAAGTGTTAATTACCATTATAATAAAGGTGTAAATCTCGCCGTAATCGAAATTCCAACATAATTACATAACCATATAGGCGGGAGGAAATTTTTCTTAGGCGGAGCGTTTACGATTGCACCGGACAATTTCATTTACATTTATTAATCCCTGACTGGCGTGTGCGCACGTGAGCTTGCGAAATTTAATTTTCCTGTGACCTGCAGATCGGCAAAGTTAAGCGAAAATCTGGCTGCTTTAGTCCAACCTAAATCAAACAAAGTATAAACGGAAGAAACAACCGGCCATTCTTGTGAACCCGTCTTGGAATACATACTCGAAATTTCGGCTCCTCGGTAACACCCATACATTTAATTGCACGTAATAGGGAAGAATATGCATCCGAAAATTTTACGAAATGATTATTTTCCAACCTGATTCTACCCGACCACCAGACAAAGTCGGTGGTGAAATTGCGACAGGTAACGACTCGAATACATCGCATCAGTTAGGACCTTTTACAGGAGTTCTCGCCCACCCCTGCTGTTTTAGTCTTTTATGACATACCTATTGAAATTATTTCAGTAGGCATGATATTAATAGACTTAACAAGTATGCAAGCATTAGAGAGGCCATTGTAATGCAAGATTTACGAATTATGATATTTATGTGGTTGTAAGCACAGCATCGTATGAATACCGCACTTGCGGATACAAGTAGTCTGAGCGTACGCAAAAACAGTTGGCAGCCAGGGCCGCTGTGCATTGCCTAATTGGCGATTACAAAACATCAGCTAGACCATTGTCACTCGGTTGACCTCAAAATATCCTTCCGAACACTTGTTCGGACACGAACAAATCGAACATCATGCTATACGGAAGCAGCCTATATACGACGGGAGAAACCCGACTTATTTAAGCAGTTGGACCGTTTGACCAATTTTCAACTGCCCTGGTAATTTTGGATCTAGATTTAATCACACGCTGATTTGTGTTGACATTCTTTCCACCTTTTTTCTTTCCTGTATTCAAGTTTGAAGGCAAAATTATCATTCTTTTTTCTCGGCGTTGAAAAAGGATCTTGCTGTTACGTAAAAATTTCTGTGCGAATCCAGGTTGGTGTGTAATTCAATTCGTTACGTGTCATGAAACTATGGGTTTCGGGTGAAAACACGTTGCTAAATTTGTTGGTATCGATAGATCCTGCTATCTATGCCTGTTATAAGTTCGTAGGCGGGAAAATTGCTTCAAAAATAAGTGTCCTTTGTTTTCCCTGACAGTCTGAATCCGAAATAAATACCACTTCAACTCCAGGTAAGGGTTTGTTTAAAAAACAATGCTACTTGTGTTTTCAGAAGAGTAGTTGGCAAGCATACGTAGACTTTCAATAAATTCTCATCGGGCCAGTTCAGTTCTATGGGAAGGGGTTAAAATGTAAACATGTGGGCAATAACGTTCATCATTACATGCAAATTAGTCATGAAGATAGGGGAGGGGGTCAGAGGGGCTGGTTACGCAGCAGGGGGAGGGGGAAGGGGGAGAGAAAGCGCGCGAAATTGCGGGCAGTTATGTGACCGTTGGCCATGCCAAGCTCGAAGCTTGCAAAAGGTTCTTTTGCACGCACAAAACCGGCTTCCTCAACCGGATAGCGGTCGCTTCTGCTGTTGCTAGCAAAAGCTCACACAGAGACTTTGGATAATTTGGGTGGGGTCTTATAAATTACCTTGAAGGCTTCGTTAGAGTCCACACGATGTCCGGAAACAACCGTGTGGGCGAGAATGGTGCTATTTATGATCCTGACTCCGTCTTTGCTCAGCCATTCCGGGGATCGCTCCCGTATTCTTTTGGATAAGCGCCGACTCGTGCGACCGTTATGCCTGCTTC